TTAGAAGACACACAGACAAGTCGACTCACTGCTCTAACAGGTAGAGCAGTACATGCCTGTAATCCTAGTTACTTAAAAGGTTGAGGCAGAAGGATCACAAGATAGAGCCTACCCTGGGCAACTTAGTAAAGTCTGCCTCAAAATTAAAGGAGGTGAAGAAGGCAGGTGCAGCTCAGTGCAAAGGCAGAAAGAATATAAAAAAGCATCCCATTCTAAAACTTCTTGGTGGACTAGGCAGGCAGTTCAGTGGTCTAAGCGCTTGCCTGGCAAGTGCAGAGACCCAGTTCGATCCCTGGTACCACATGCCACGCGGGCCCTGGCACTTCCAGCGTGGTGGTGCACACCCATAATCCCAGCTCTGGGGAGGTTGCGGCAGGAAGATGAGTGCGAGTCCAAGCTGCATAGCGAGACCCTGTACCTAATAAATAAATAAACGATTTTTTAAAAAAAATTTAAACCTTCTTGGTAAAATACTACACCGGCTTATTTGTTAAATTCCTTTCTTTCTTTCCAAAGTAGAATTGTCAAGTTAGAAAGGTTTATTATTTCCTGTTCATCTTCAAAAACGAAAGTGACAAAGGGTATAACTGATATAAAACAAAATATTTTTCAGAACTTACAGTTTTTAACTCACAAACATATAGGATACAAAACTCAGACACAAACAACTCCAACAAGGATTGCGCCTCAATCAGTGAGCCCTGCCAAGAAGTTGGGAGCAGTGAGCACACAGGGGAGAGCTCAGCAACTCCCTGAAATGTAACCAAGACTAAAAGCTGATATTCCAGGAAAAAATAACAATTCATCCACAATGACTGGGCTTTTGCTTTGTTTTTCTAAAGCTGACGTCTCAAATAGTAATTATGCTGTCTAGGTGATAAAGTGAACCTGTTATGGCAAAGAGTACGTCACCTACCGCAGGCACCTTGCATCACAAGGCCAGGTTTCATCCAGTTTTCTTTAGTAACAGCCATTACAACTTGGTGATGCTTTAATAATTATTTCAACTGAGTCTTATGTTTTTTGGGTTTGTTTTGTTTTTTACAGTACTCAGGATCAAACCCGGTTCCTTGTGCTGGCCAGCAAGGCACCTACACCACTGAGCTATCTATCTTCCCAGCCCTCAAACAAGTCTTATGATAAACTTGTGAGATAAATGTAACTAATGATTATCCTTCACCCAAACTTCTGGGAACTAGGAGTTTCAGATTTTGAGGTTTGGGGATGTTATGGTTTGTGTCTAATTGTCCTCCCAAAGCCTCATGTAAGTTATGGGACAGATGCAGCTAGAGGAGCAATGAGTGGCTTGAAGGGCAGGGCCATGGGACCAGGGTGGGGCCCAAGGGGTGGGGCCATGGGACCAGGGTGGGGCCCGAGGGGTGGGGCCATGGGACCAGGGTGGGGCCCGAGGGGTGGGGCCA